AGCTTTCTTGAAAATTCATTTGATTTGTGTCCGATTTGTAGTTCTAGGCGTTATTTTGGTATTTTGATCACGCGAGCGAGTTCGTATGAGATATTTGGACTTGTGTGCATATTTGGTTTGGAGCCCCGAGGGCTCGGGTGAATTTCGAATAGGCTACGGATGGTTTAAACTTAGGAAAAATCTGGTTTTTATCAACTTCAGCTGTCATCTGGTTTCCTTCTTCGCGATCGCGAAGAGTGAACTGGTCTGGGTGGGATTTGCTTTATCGCGAACACGATGGTTGGGTCGCAAACACGGAATGATGGGGGTTTTACCCTTCGCGAATGCGACCAGTCTCTCGCAAACGCGTAGCTTTAGTGACCTGGGGAGGGGAACTGACTTTACTCTTCGCAAACGCGGCACATGGCTCACGAACGCGTAGGCTGGTGGGTTAAGCTTTCGCGAATGCCAAGGGTATCACGCGAGCGCGTAGGCTATTTGAGCCGCTGCTCCGCGATCGCGTCAGACCCTTCGCAAACGCGAAGAAGGCCTGACGCCCAGTGATTAAAACATACCAAAAAAGGGGATTTCTCCCATTTTTCATTAACCCTTCCATTAGAGCTCGGCCTAGGAGCGATTTTGAAGAGAAAAACTCAACATCAATTCATAGGTTTATACCTTTTAACTCATTTTCTTCCATTTCTAACATCACCCATTAATTCCTAGCCATAATCTTTGTTCTTCCATGGTAGAAAACTAGGGATTTAGGAAGAATTGGGGTTTTTTGCAAATTAGGGATTTAGACCTCAATTTGAGGTCGGATCTCAAAACTAGTTACATAATCGGGCTCAGAGGTGAATAGGTAAATGGATTTTGGTCCGAACCTCGGGTTTTGACCAAGCGGGCTCGGGGTCGATTTTTGTCGTTTTAGGGAAAAAAAATTGGAAATTCTAAATTTATGCTTTGTAATTGATTCTTTTAGAAATATTTGATATTATTGAGTCAATTGTGATTAGATATGAGTGGTTTAGAGGCGGATTCTAGGGGAAAGGCCCTGGTATAGCTCTGAGTTGACTGCAGAGTGAGGTAAGTTTGAGTTTAACCTTGATTTGAGGGAATTAGGAACCCTCAGACTATGTTGCTATGTGAATTTCATGTGTTGCGGGTTATATGTGAGGTGACGAGTGCTTATACGCCGCCGAATTACTTGTTTTTCCTGATTTTTTGCTTTTTCTTAATTATCTCCTTCCGTGTCTTAAATGTTATATCTTCTACATGCCTTCCATGCTTATTTGCTACCTATTAATTAGTGTTTTCTCCTGTTAACAATGTTAGATCTTTCTATATTTTCATGATTCGCTGCTGCTAGCCTTAATTGACTTACTTGCACCTTCTGATTGTCATTTACTGGACTTGTCTTGCTGTGTAGTATTACTTATGTGAATACCCATGTTGTACTAGGTTTCCTTTCTGGTTCAGCGTTGTATTCATTGATCGTAGAGATTCTTGTGATTTGAATTATTGATTTGACTGTGCTCATTGAGTATTTGGTATTGATATAGTGGGATCGGGTTGCATGCCGCAATAGGTGAAATAAGGATGAATTGATATGGTGGAATAAAGGTGAATTTGTACTGTGAATTTGATACGGTAAAATAATGGTGAATTATGATACTGATATTGTTATATGGTGGGATCGGGTTGCGCCGTAATATATNATATATATATATGATTGTTGATGTTGTTACGGTGGAATAAGGGAGGACTCTATATCGTACGGTGGTATCGGGTTGCGCGCCGCAACAAGTTATGTATTTCTATTTCCTAGAGTTGTGTTGGTATTCGGTAATTACTTATGGAACTTTAAGGATTGGTAATTTTAATTGATACTGGTTCTTCTTTGAGGATTTAGCTATTTTCTTCAGTTAATTGCCTTATTTCGTTCCATATTTATCTTTTCATGTATTTATTATATATTGCGTACAGGTTATAGTGTAGGTGACCTACCTTAGCCTCGTCACTATTTCGTCGAGGTCAGGCTCGGCACTTACAGAGTACATGAGGTCGGTTGTACTCATGCTGCACTCTGCACTTCTTGTGCAGATTTTCGAGTCGGTCCCAGCGGCGGTTATTAGCGTGCTCGGATTGGCCAGCTTGTGGAGACTTGAGGTACTACTGTCTTAGTATCCGCAGCTTCTAGAGTCCCCTTTCTATTTTCTTATTTAGCTGTGTACTTTCTTTCATACAGCTTTGTTTTTTATTCAGACCATTATTTGTACTATTCTAGTAGCTCTTGCACTTGTGACACCGGTCCCAGGGTTGTATCAGATATTTTAATTGTTGTAGCTTCCGCACTTTACTTTGGATTATTGCAATTATTTTAGCTCTTTCTCATTATTTAATATAAAATGTTAAAAAATGATAAATTGTTCTAATATTGGTTTGCCTAACAAGTAAAATGTTAGGAATCATCACGGTCCCGACGATTGGAATTCGGGTCGTGACAGAAGTAGCTAGGTCAATCCTTTTCGATTTGAGCTTTCTTCTTTAATGAATGAATAAATCAAGATGTCGAAAAGTGAATGTCGGATAGAAGGTAAATAATTTAAAGAAAGGAATTAAGGAGTCCACACGATCAGTTTGTACATACTAGTGGTATAATCAATAGGACCTTTGAACTTTGAAGCTCCAACAATATTACTTTACCCATTTTATTTTCCGATTATTTATTAGTAATTATCCCAAATGACTAAATAAGCACATCCTTTTCTCAACAAAAAAAATGTAATAACGATCCAATGTTACGTTGTTTTTCTGAGGATTGATTTTCCTTGTCGCATTTATATTCATAGTATTCCAAAAAGAATTCCTCCTTGCTTTTTAATTAATTTCCTTTCGTGGTTTTTAATTTCTTTTATTGTGGAAGGTAAGATGGAGCTGTATAAGAGTTGATTCATTTATGATGATATACAATGCATATATCTAAACGACTTCGAAATGTAATAGTTATACAAAACCGACAAAGCAAATTGTAATTGGCAAGGATCAAACTCTGAAAATGGTAAAACAAATATGAAAGGGTTCTTCTAGCAAAGAAAAATGTGTAAAGCCTAACCATATTTACCACTTGGAAAAGAAAAAAAGACAAAAGAATAGTTAGGAACTAGAAATTTTCAATTTTGCGTATTTATTTATTGTGAGTGGGAGTTAATTACATGTTCGGAGAAATTAAGAAATTGGGTGTAACAGGTTTGGTACCAACTAAAGGACAAAGGTGGTAAATGTAGTTGTTAAATTGTTTTCATGGTCTAGATCACTTACCATTAATTAGCTAGCTACAGAATACATTGTTTCAAAGCTAAGATTAACCCAACGATCGATCTGTCCTATCAGCTTTTCAGTTGCAGATACGTAACAAATAGCAAAGGGAAAAAGCAGAAAAAGAAAAAGGAAATTTAAGAAGGAATTGGGTGTGTCCGTACAAAAAAGTAACCTAGGGATGGCAGATTATGTTTCCCTTTCACGTCGAATAGATATTTCCATGCATAAGGTAACATCACCATAATTTCCTGATGCAGTTCATGTTTGAATAATGTGAAAAGAAATTACCAGAAAGAAAAGAGAGATGTTCCATTTGTTATTACTATATATTATCAGGTGAAAATTAGGCCTTTTGTCATTTGATTAGGTAATCCCTTAATAGTTAAGATTTTTATGCCGTAAAATCTACACTTACTGATATTTCAGAGCTCCCTTAGTTTCTATTACTTCATTTTATATATTCAGGCCAAGATTTTAATGAAATCAACTATAAGATAATAAATGGCGTTAGAATACTCATATATGATATATCATTGACTATTTTGTCTAACAGTTGATTTTGTTAAGTGAAACTAATGATGGTATTTTAGTGAAGGGTTATGATCTGAATCAAAGCTTATGATCAATACCACGTAAGAGTAAATACCGCTATCTTAAAAGTTGGGGTGTACATGGATCGGATTAGTTGTATTTTTATTAAAACTAAACCAAACCAATTATATTGGTTTGAATTGGTCCGGTTTTGTCAGACTATTTTGGGTTTTTCAGGTTTTTTTGTTACATGAATAATATGTCAATCTTACTTTGTTAAATTTTTGATAAGTAAATATATGTTTAATAAAAATAAAAAAATTGACAAACATATGATCTATTAAAATATTCTTGTGGGAGAATTTTCTTAGTAACACATGATAGTTATTTTTTTTTTTGACAATAAATTTTCATTGATGTGCATTTTCAAAGTGAACCGAATTTAATAATTAAACATAAAAATCAATATGATACTTAAATAATGATATGTTCTATTTAATTTTTAATTATCAAAATATTACTTCAAATTCGGAAAAGATATAAGAATCTAATAGATCTTGACATATGAATATGAAAAAAATAAAGAGATTGATGCATTTCAATAACACTTGATAAGAAAGTGATCATACAACACATTATTAAATTACATCCCATAAGTGAATCCCAAATATTTCTAGACATTTTTAAAAAAATCTATATTAAGTCTTAAAAGTATATATAAAAATTATATATTTATATATCGGTTTGGTTCGGATTGTTTTACTCAATACCAAATCAAATCAAACCAAACCTCATCGGATTTTTTAATCGATTTGCTTTAACTTTTCGATTTGGTGCGATTTTCCGGTTCGATTTGAACACCCCTGCTTAAAAGTATTACAGTATAAATCGTATAAATTGAATGAAAGCTTAAATATTAGATTTGAGAATTAAACAAATATGAGTGATCCTATCTTCTAGAATAAGGTACTATTATTTACGTTATTCTAATATTCCGAGTGATGTTCATAATTACCGGAAAAATTAATATCGTTCACCTAATTAAGTTAAACCCAAGTAAGCTTTAATGATACTACTATTTATTTATCACAACATTCAAAATGTAAGATTCTTCATAAACACCAAACCCATCACCTGCAATGATCTAACTTTTGTTGAAGTTCTAAAGCCACGGGCACCACTCATTCCAAGCCCACCACCAACAACAAGAACAAAAATACTATTATGAAATAAAACAACAACAACAACTGATTAGCCATGCAAGACATTGAGTAAGATATGAAAGTATTCTATTTTGTTCAAGTGTATACAATATAAATCCAAATTGCCTTTACTTATTATCATAATATATAGCCATATAGGTGAGCAGCGAAGATTATTCGAAGGAAAACAAAAACCTCATTGGAGTTCAATTAAGCTTCCTTTTATTGCAAAATACATATTTGTAACACCCAAAAAAGGGGGAAAAGAAAAACAATAAATTTCCCATCTAAGATCAGAAACTCAGGAAGTAAGAAAGAGGAATACATAACCTTGAAACTTCTTAAAGGCCCACATGGACCACCCAAGATAATAAAAACAAATTCACTTCTCTCTCAACAAAATGAATTGGATAATGTGATTCAAATCAGAGGTTCAAAAACCTCTTCCATTGCATTCATCTCATGGTCACTAAAATCTTTTGGTCTCCACACTTCTCTTGCTAACCTAAACTGGTGCAAATTTCAAAGAATGATCCATCTAAAAGCTATTCACTCCCCTTTAACACCTACACAACAAGCTCCTATTAACACAACTTGCTACTTTAGGAGGAAAAAACCTTTCATTTCCTTGTGCAAGTCAAGAAAATCAGATTCAGATGGTAAAGGAGATACCCGTCAACAAGAATTGCTTGCCAGAATTGTTCTGCTTCAAACCCAAAAAGTTCGTTTAACTGAATACTTGGATGAAAGATCTGCATATCTAACACAGTTTGCTGAAGAAGCCAATTGTGAGATGGACCAGATTGGTGAAAATGCCATCAAAGAACTGGATGAAGCTGGTGCAAGGGTCTGTTGTCAAAGCCACTGCATACGCAATGCATAAAATGTAGAATTTGAACTTATTTTCTGAATAACACAGTTCTTTATTTGTTTTTGTGGAGCAGATAATGGAAAATATAGAGAACCAGATGCAAGTTTTTGAAGAATCAGTAGGGTTGAACAAAGAGGAGGTAGAAGAGAATGAAAAGAAGTTAGCCGATTTTGAAGGCCAAATGGAGGAGGAAAGAAACGAATGGCTTTTCTTTAACAACTTAAGGCAAAGACAACCCGTGGACAAAGCAAAAGCTAAGGAGGAGATGGAGAAGATTAAGCAACTTAGTAGAGAAAGTGCTGGGTCAAAGACTAGAAGAACTATTTACTTTGCACTTATAGGCCTTGTAGTAGTTGGGATTGCAGATGTTTTCATCTCTTCACCTTCTGACTGGAGAAAAGGTGCAGTTCTTGGGATTATTTTGGTGTGTTTGCTTTCTCAAGTCATCTATGAGCAGAGTGTTTTATCAGAAACCGAACTGGAGAGAGAACAGACATCCAAAGAAGAAAAAAAGTGAAATCCTCTCTGTTTTGCATCCTACTTATTTTCCAAAAAAAATATATATATATATATATACTATCAGAGAGTATTGTAGCATGAGTTATAACCCCAAAATAAAATCTTATTACTCGAGGCTGATATAACATGCCATAGTTTATCTTGCATCATGCATGTTTCGTGACAACACTGTAGCCATCAAAAATTGGATGTGTATTATATTGATCAAAGGAATGATACTTGCTGAGGTATAGAGAATATTGAAGTTTGTAGGACTTCAGAATTTGGGTCTCCTGCATTTCTTTAGTAATCAGTGGTAACATTGATGTGGTCTGGAGAAGCACACAAGTCTAAGAGGAAATAGGTTCTATTGATCGAAAGATTCTATTTTTGGAGTAAGGAAACAGTCTACTGATGGAAAGATTCTTACGCCATTCAAGACACTCAGGGTACATCAATCAAGTGAAAATCTTCAGAAGAGATGTACATCCGTCTTTAGGGAAACAAATATAATCAGCTCCCTAGCATTCACGGAACATAGAAATGCCATTCACAAGAAAAGTCCAACTCTTAATGAAATTTCCTTGTTCCCTTTACTATACCTCTCCTAACTACAAAATTAGATAAAATAATATCTAGCACACTTTCCTACAAAAAGCAGCAGTAAGCCTATTAGAAGGAAGGAGGAATTATAGTCAAGATTCAATACCACACGAGATCATAAAATCTGGTGCCCTGACGTGACTTGGTGACATGTCTTTAAAGTCCAATCTTTCAGACAAATTCTCAAACACCTGAAAATTGCAACGATATTCTAGCAAACTTGTATCAGAAACAGAATCTAGGAGTATTTCCAAGAAACAGGAAGCACACAACGGAAACCCATGCATGATAGTTACATTATGACTCTGACCAAATATGGCTCACTTGCAAATGACATAATCACCTGAGATGAAAGGAGAGTTCCCTGAAATCTTAAACCAGGAATCATGGTATTGTCAGACAAATTGGTGTTGGGTTTAAGCTTCTTAGAGCTTAAAAGAGGGTGAATGGAAAATGGAGGCAAAAATGAAATTTTGGTTTTCCCTCCTTGACAAAAGGACATTGTCCCATATTGGAGGAGGAAAAGACTTTTGATGGGTATATATACAATTGCACTTCTTCTAGTTGTTAGAGAGTTGAGAAGAAGTCATGCCTTGCGCCGTCGTTGTCGCTCGGCTTCAGTAGACCTTCTGAAGAGTTGCACCTCTTCATTTAAACCCAACCTATTGGCTATTAATAGCAGACCATTCCCTCAGAAATAAATAATCCACAACCTCGGGTACTAGGAGGGGATTAAGTAACTTAAGGAAACACTGTGAATTCAGTAGGCTTGGAATAATTCTGTTATAATTCTGTTCTTCTGCATTTCTGCTTTTATAGCATTTTTGTTTTTGAATATATTTCCGAATACAGATTACTAACAATTGGCCGTCCTAGTAAGCATAAAAATGGCAACCCTGCAACCATAAAATAATGTTTCTCTCACTACATAAAGAGCTCAAAAACAATCTTAAAAGAAAGCAACCTATGTAATAAAGAATGAGGAAATTCAAACCTGAAAGTTTCCTACTTGAAAAACATCATCTTATAGCTCAACTAAGTATGTTCCATGTATTCCATGCAATAACATTTGGAGTGATTTCCTAGTCAGAGCATTATTCAAGAACAAATTGGTACTTGACAATCTGCAGAACGTACTTCAAAACAATCATTTAAGAGCTCAATTATAGAGATAACTGCTCTGAAAAGTATATACCATCTAACTGCAGTTGGAAAGGATCTTCCTGCTAAGGCCATAATGTAAGAGTAATATTGTAAGAAACAATATCTGGCGGAAGAGTGCCACGTAAAATGAGAGGCGAAACTCCTTAAGCTTTTGCAGTCTCTAGCTTTATTAAACCACTCCATAAGGGTGTGATGAGTGACAGGATTTGGGTTACATTATCAATGGTTTGTGTTCAGAAACAGATATAAAACTCACCCAAGTTTGCCATCAGAGCAAAGCACATGAATTTTAATGTTAACCATGATCATATCGTAAGGTTGCTAACGACTTGGCTCAACAAGTTGAGGATCCGGTAACAAGATATATCTGATCGTGCTGGCTTCATCCCTTTATGCGGAATGACCTTTACTATCACCAAATCTATCAAATTTGCATAAAAGTCTACCAGCATATCATAGGTGAGAACATGTCACGACCCCTACCCCGGTCGTGATGGCGCCCAACACACTGCTAGGCAAGCCCGACTAATTCAACAACCTTAACCCTTTTTATACAGTTCATGATTCAATTAACACAAATAATTACTAAGTCATAATACTGAAACTCTGAAATATAATTAAAACATGCGAAAAACCCAAGTAGAAATACTACTACACAACCCGAAGAATCCGGTGTCACAAGTCTGAGCCTCTAATACACGGGTGTCAACCTACTACATATTGCTCTAAAGAAATGCGGAAATAAAGCAAATAGGTTAGATGGGAAGATCAGGACTGCGGACGTCATGCAGCTACCTTGATTCTCCCAGATATGATGCTCGGCAGAGAAATCCTCACTCAGCCTCAGTGGGTGCACATAGATCTGTACACAAGGTGCAGGGAGTAATGTAAATACTTCCAACCCAGAGAGTAATAAACATAAATAAGGGTTGAGAGTAAGAAATCCTGGATAGGCACAATGTAAGCTATAATTACAGCAATTTAATCCAGATAATGTCAACTCAATAAACCAATGAAAACAATGATGCTGCAACAGATAAGTAAATGAATGACAATCAATTAAGACATGCAACAAATAGTACGGTACTCTCTAGTACCCGCTGCGGCGTGCAGCCCGCTCCATTTATTTATCGTCGACGGTGCTCACTGGGGGTGTGCAGACTCCGGGAGGGGCCCCTAACGGCCCAAGCGCAATATCAAGCCATCTCGTGGCATCCATTAGGCCCTAAGCCTCATATCAATATCAATATCATATTACTGCGGCGTGCAACCCGACCCCATGCTCAGTCCAAAATCACATAAGCCCCACAGGCACAATCATATAGAAATATTCAGCCCAAACTTCATTAGAAATATTATTTAAGTTCCAAGTTTTGAGAAAAAGTGGTTGAGTTTGCAAAACAGTATTAAATACTAGGACTGAGTTCAATTATCTGTAAATATGGTGAGAAATCAGTAAAAACAATCCCTGAAGGATTCAAGCAGTTGGCACGTAGCCCAATTATGATAATTAATCCATTTTTATAAGGATATCTACTAAGCTTCAATTAATTAGGTAGTAATTTTATTAAGCGGGACGGACCAAGTCACAATCCCCGACGGTGCTCTACCCCACGCCCGTTATCCGGCGTGCAAGTCACCTCACATAGCACTATAATGTGCAAATTCGGGGTTTCAAACCCTCAACACAGCATTTACATCTATTACTAACCTCAAGCCGGCCAAAATCCTAGCTCGCTATGCCCTTGCCTCTCAAATCGACCTCCTCGCGCATCGAATCTGACCAAAACCACAATGAATACGTCACATTATGCTATAGCATCAATACCCAATCGAAAATAATCGAAAAACATCAATAATCCCGAAATTGACAAAACCCGAGCCCCGGTCCCACTTCTCGAAACTCAAAATTTTTTACAGAAAAGTATTCTTCATCTTCTCCTGATTCCGTACATATAAAGAACACCAAAATCGGAGTCCGTTTGACCCCTCAAATCGACCCCTAAAGGTCTCATTATCTTAGGCCCCAAAATCCTATTTTTCTACTGTTTTTCATGAATTAAAGGCTGGGATTATGGTCTATAATCACCCATAAACGAGTTTTAATAATCAAATCACTTACCTCTGTGATACCCACTGATTTTCTCTCTTAAAAATTGCCTCAGAAGCTTCTCCCTGTTCAAAAATTGGAAGAAAACTCGACCTGCTCATTATAGGTATACTGTTCACGCGTTTTACAGCTCCCAATGGATTCCTTGTGAAATTCTAATGAATTTGAATCACTCAATTTGACCTTATAATGAAGGAGATATGTAGGTTTTAAGATTTGCAAATACTGCAGGTTTTTAATACGCCGTCAGGGGCAATTTCGTCATTAACCTGAAAATCTGGGCAACCTTGGTAAAATGACCATAAAATCCGCATATGATGTCCAAATTCGACGATTCTTTTTGCTACGGGTCCGTAATTACGATACGGATCTAAATCTTCATTCAAAACAGTAATCGGAGCTCATTTGTTCAATATGATATCATTTATGCTTGAAGAAACGACGTCGAAGCATAAGAAAAACGAGCACAACGCAGTCCAAACCTATCCGAAACTCACCCGAGCTCCTCGGGACCGCATACGAACATACTAACACGTCACATATGATCATTCAAACTTAGTTGCACTCTCAAAACACCAAAACTAACATCAAAACACCAACTTTACATCGGATTCAAGCCTAAGTTCTTCTAAAACTTCCAACACACGCATTTGATCAAAAACCCAACCAAATCACCTCCGAACAACCTGAAATTTTGCACATACATCCCAAATCACCTAACGAAGCTACAGCAACTCTCGGAATTCCATTCCGACCCTCGGATCAAAATCTCACCTATCAACCGGAATTCGCCAAAATACTAACTTCGCCAATTCAAGCCTAATTCTACACCGGACCTCCAAAATCACTTCCGATCACACTCCTAAGTCACAAATCATCCCCCGAAGCTAACCGAATCGTCGGAATATACATCCGAGCCCTCTAACTCATAGGTCAACATCCGGTTGACTTTTCCAAAACAAGCCTTCCTTAAAGAGACTAAGTGTCTCATTTCCTTCCAAAAATCAACCCAATTCAACTCGTTCACACAAGACACTGATAATGAAGCATAACGAAGCAGGAAATGGGGGAAACGGAGCGGTTCTCATGAGACGACGAGTCGGGTCGTCACATCCTCCCCAACTTAAGCAAACGCTCGTCCTCGAGCGTACGCAGAGTTGTCCTAGAAGCCAACCAATAGCTGAATGACCTTACCAAGCATATACCCGGGGGTGATCCCATGTCACCCTATCTCGCATAGCTCCGATAACACAACATAGCTGAAATTTCACAATCCATCTAGTCCATAAACCATAGAACCACATTGCACTTTTCGAAATCATACACAAGATCAGAACCTCACATCTATACTCAGAATAAGCCCGAACCAGCTGTAATAACCCATACCTGCAACCTCAGGTGCAATCATATGATATACTACATAACCCAAACACTCGAAACGATAACTTCTATTCACAGCAGTTGCCCACAACACCCGAATACCGGTAGAAAACCTCTTATCAACTAAGGTCTTATTCCAACACTTTCATATACTGCCAACAATAAATGAAACACGCAATAAACCGTAACCATTTCTCAGATCAACCATTCATGAAGCCACTTCCCTTTTGACTAATACCACAGCAGATTCCGAGCCGAACCTCGATATTATCCTTCCAACAAGCTGAAATCAAATCCGTTCGTATTCATTAGTGACCCCAACGATCACCTCGAATCCAA